AAATTCTCCAAAACTCTCACACATTATCCGCCATATAACCATGAAACTATCTTAAAAGTTTAAAGAAAATCTATCAGTTAGATCTTGAGAAAATCGAATATATATTTTAAGTTATTCACTAAAACACTCGATTTTCGACCAATATATATTATGGTACAGTTTTGTCGTGTTTGAAGTTGCATATATCAAGTTTGGCAGATAGAAATTCGCCCAAACTCGCACGGATTATGAGTATTATATGTCTTATAGCCATGTGTAAACGCCGCCGCCGACTGGTTTAGCCACGGCGGACAAGCCTGGTGGTTGTGAAAAACAGTTTCATGGTTCTAACCTCTACTGGTGATGACCAAGAGATCATGTAGTTCCTAAATCCTGGGTTTCTTAAAACCACCGGATGATTTGCAGCTCTCAAGAGTCGTGCCTCAAAGTCTGAATCAAGTGTTTCGGTCAGATGATGTGACCAGGGACAATCTGCGTCCATTAGATAAAGTAATAGCTGATACGCCGTAATCTTTGCTGAAATTTATGATTACAATTAATTCACTTATTATATTATCATAAAGAATAAATAAATTTTAATTTAGAGTTCAATTGGTGTAGTAATGTACAAACAATCACACATTTACATTAATTCTAATTATCAACAAATAAAAATGATGAGATGAATTCGTCTCCCGAGTTCCACAGAAATCAATTACTATATCCAATAGCTACATTGCTGCTACAAAGGTTATGACTTACCTTCAGCGTTGATGTATTGTTCACCCACAATCTCCTTGTCTGAGATAATTTTTAGATTTACCCACACTCAATAGCAACAATATAGCAGTAATTGTACACAGAACAATATCCAATTTTAATAGAAGGTTTCCACACACAATAAGAATAATACGAAAATCAGAACTCAAAAGGAGTTAGTCCTGTTTAATGCAACGGGATATCATAAACATCAAACTTGTCGCATAAATATTACATACCTATGTCATCCGACTTAAAGTGATTCTTGATAGCTTTCTCCCATGCTTGTTTGATGTGGAAATCACAGTAAAAATGTTTAGTTCCTGGAAAAACCTCTTGAATGGCATTAATTTCGGCCCTGTGGGGTTAAAGTATTAATCTATACAATATTTTACACTTGACGAAATACCTTGGCTACGGCATAGATACACAAAAAATTTACCAATAAGTGCCATTATTATTATCATGTTCATACGTGTCGATATCTGTCATGCTGTAAGTAGGCGAAAGATCAGGATTCCAACGCTTCACCACATACAAGGCTTCTGCTACTGTGTCGCCGTCAAGCTTGGAAGTAAGGAAAACCGCTACTACCAATAGAAGTTGAACATTCTTAACTGTGATTACTATTAGTAATTTACTAATTATAAATAACATCTTAAGTAATATTTCGAGGTTTTCAGTAATTCAAGGTTTTGGGTAAGCTTATGATGGGTCAGTACTTTTTCGAGTATTTATGGTAAGTTGATGGTAAATTGTAGTAATTGGGGCTGCGGGTATATGTTTATGTACCTGGTATCCGTGAGGTGTGAATACCATGAGCATTTTATACTTGTTTGTTTTATGTGTTGAATCGAGAAACAAGTAGTCGCCATGGTCTTTTAGGATGGACTTCATTGCCTCGTTCTGGTATACGAGCATGAACTTCGTATTTGTCTTCACTTCCTGCAACGTAGTTAATTTAGGACACCATCTTGCAATACACCCTCACTATCAACATGCTGTGCGGTGGACAGAAAATGTATTAACAGAGTGTTAACAATAATTCATTGGAGAGAGTTAAGGCATATCTACCTACAGCGAATAACTTCCTGGTATTTACTTCATCCAAAGATTAAGTAAAAATTTACCATATCTGGCTCGTAGATAAACTCAACAGAATCACCGCTGCTCCTGAACTTTTCCACCAAATCGTCAAGTCGGTCGACTTCTAGCCCCGTCGAAGCACAACAATTCCGGAGGCACTATCCGTCGCGGAGTCGAGTCCGCGGCGGAGCCGCCGGACTTCGAGCGGACTCCGGCGGAGCCGCCGGACTCCGAGCGGACTCCGGCGGTGCTCCGCCAAAATGTATTTACAGTGGACTCGAGTACATTTTGGCGGACTCCGAGCGGAGCCGAGCGGACTCCGAGCGGACTTTAAAGTCCGCCGCGGACTCCGAGCGGCTCCGCGGCGGCTCGGTGGAGTGTCCGCCGCGGACTAAGCCACTAAGCGGACTCCGGTCCGCCGCGGACTCCGGCGGAGTGCTTGGCGGACTCCGCCGGACCTCTCCGCCAGACTTGAATCCGGCGGAGTCCGGCGGAGCTTGGCGGACTCCGCCAGCTCGGCGGACTCCGCTCGGAGTCCGCCGGACTCCAACAGAGTCCACTGACTTCCGACCTCCGTCTTCCGACCCTCGGCTAAATTTGTCACGTGACATACAACATAGCATTTTGCAATATTGTGGTCAGATGAAAAGGTCGCTAGTGATAAACCTTAACCATTACCCTCACAATGTCAATAGTGTACAACTCTAGTCCTAACTTTGACCCTATAATGTATAAACGTTGACCCTAACCCTCCACCAAACCGTCCGCAGCGAAATATCAATGTCATTGACTGGTCACGTGACCAAAACAATTTTTGTCATATTATCTCATATGGGGAAGCGTTTTTAGTTTTACCCTACACGTTGCATGTGGCGTCATTCGGCCGGATCCCAGCAAGCAAAAATACGTCGACCATCACAGGACGACGCCAGCAAGCACTCTCTACGCTATTCGAGCTCCGATCGTCCTGTGACGAAGTAAGGACGAAGCCTGAGGTCCTCAGGTAACATCGACCACCGATTGAAAATTCAAAGATTTTTTGACATAAAGGTCAAATGTAAAACTAAAATCTTGATGCTGATTGATTGACGACGTCAATTTTTGAGCACAGCGCGAGCGCATGCGGAAAAGGACTGCGTAGCTAGTCCATAGTCAAGATGTTGATAAATATTTGGCTTGTGGCGCGATGTGTTGCTCTAACTATAGCCCTCTCGCTTGCAGTAGCGCGCGACCGCCGGAAATGACTTGTGGAACAAGCGCGCCCGCAGCGGCGCGAAAGCACCTGGTTAGCTAAATGAACGCGATGTGCCTTGCATTGTAGGATGAAATCCTATTAGCTGACGCCACTCGCAGCTGTGATGTTCGCTGTACGTCAGCGATCGAAATTTATACGCGTATCACCCGCGCCACTCAATTTTTTTCGTTGCTCGTCGCACGTCGACGCCCTCATTAAATTTTTGGAGAAAATCGCTCGCCAAAATTTGTTGGACCAGGACGATGTCCTAGCCTGGCAGCTCATTGCGCGGCGCGTCGCAACGAGCTTCGTTGTTCGTCGACGTGCGACGAGCAACGAAAAAAATTGTGTGGCGCGTCGAGTGGCACATCTTAACGGGGGATACGCGTATAAATTTCGATCGCTGACGTACAGCGAGCAGCACAGCTGCGAATGGCGTCAGCTAGTAGGATTTCATCCTACAAGGCACATCGCGTTTACCTAGCTAGCTAACCAGGTCATTTCCGCCTCCGGCGGTCGCGCGCTACTGCAAGCGAGAGGGCTATAGTTAGAGCAACACATCGCGCCACAAGCCAAATATTTATCAACATCTTGACTAGCTACGCGGTCCTTTTCCGCAATATGCGCTCGCGCTGTGCTCAAAAATTGACGTCGTCAATCAATCAACATCAAGATTTTAGTTTTACATTTGACCTTTATGTCAAAAAATCTTTGAATTTTCAATCGGTGGTCGATGTTACCTGAGGACCTCAGGCTTCGTCCTTACTTCGTCACAGGACGATCGGAGCTCGAAGAGCGTAGAGAGTGCTGGCTGGCGTCGTCCTGTGATGGTCGACGTATTTTTGCTTGCTAAAAACGCTTCCCCAGGCCATATGAGATAATATGACAAAAATTGTTTTGGTCACGTGACCAGTCAATGACATTGATATTTCGCTGCGGACGGTTTGGTGGAGGGTTAGGGTCAACGTTTATACATTATAGGGTCAAAGTTAGGACTAGAGTTGTACACTATTGACATTGTGAGGGTAATGGTTAAGGTTTATCACTAGCGACCTTTTCATCTGACCACAATATTGCAAAATGCTATGTTGTATGTCACGTGACAAATTTAGCCGAGGGTCGGAAGACGGAGGTCGGAAGTCAGTGGACTCTGTTGGAGTCCGGCGGACTCCGAGCGGAGTCCGCCGAGCTGGCGGAGTCCGCCAAGCTCCGCCGGACTCCGCCGGATTCAAGTCTGGCGGAGAGGTCCGGCGGAGTCCGCCAAGCACTCCGCCGGAGTCCGCGGCGGACCGGAGTCCGCTTAGTGGCTTAGTCCGCGGCGGACACTCCACCGAGCCGCCGCGGAGCCGCTCGGAGTCCGCGGCGGACTTTAAAGTCCGCTCGGAGTCCGCTCGGCTCCGCTCGGAGTCCGCCAAAATGTACTCGAGTCCACTGTAAATACATTTTGGCGGAGCACCGCCGGAGTCCGCTCGGAGTCCGGCGGCTCCGCCGGAGTCCGCTCGGAGTCCGGCCGGAGTCCGGCGGCTCCGCCGCGGACTCGACTCCGCGACGGATAGTGCCATTCCGGATATCAGAGACAGTGGGAAACCACATTCTATTATCGAGATGTATGGTGTATCCTTTCTGTTCTAAAATTAAATTCGTATTGTGAGTTTAAGTAGTGTAATAAGCATTTACTATTGTCAAAATAAATTTTATTGTGCTACTGAGTACAATGAAAAATCGATTTACGGTCGGTTGATTTAAAAGTGTAAATGTGAAACAAACCCCAGTTTTCTTATATAAATATTAAATTGGAACCAGAAACAGCACTCAGCAGATAATCACTTTTAATCTGATCTATTTTCACTGTATATATATTATAACTGTATTTGAATATATTACGTATGTACGTGAATTATACGAACCTAATAACTTAGTCACTTCTTCCTCAAGAATTCCCCTTAACCTCCAAAGATTTTGGCATTTGTAACCATTATCCTTTATGATATTTACAACTTCCGGGTGAGGGCTTTGTAGATGACCACTGAATGTTATTAACCAAATTGAAATAAGTTACCAGGTTAATATCAGATGAAAACTGAATTAAAAAATCGAAGAAGATACTGACTAAAAAATCGAAGACGATAAAGTTAGTTCCATATTGAATTTAATTTGGGTAATTTACATACAGAATACAGTCTGCACGACAATTATTACTAAAACCTACCATGGCTCGTGCATACTATGAACAGGATAAACCTGTATCCCATAGATTTTTTCACTCGAGCTGAGAAGGTCCTCGTTATTTTCCTTCTTCAGGTTAGCTGGGCTGAGGTATGTATACAGGTCGTCCAACACTTCAAAAACGTACGCCTAGAAAATTAATCACATATTAAAAGAGGGTCTCGTGGTAATAAACATCTAGCAATAACTGTGAGGTCTAGAAACTCTGGATGAAACGTGTTATTTAAGCATGTTTTTTTCTCAAATTTTCGGGAGATTTTACAAATCTGAATCAATAGTACGATGTGGTGTAGGGCTGCATCGCCATTCGCCTTGCTAGATAAAAGGGCACCTAAAGATAATTTAAGCACATACCCGAACCCATGCTTTGCAGCCCATCTTTATTGTCTTGTTAGGAAGATCAATTCCACGGCACATCTTGATTGTTGGGTTTTTGGAGATCCGATTTCCTGCTCGGCAGGTGAACCTAGTGATAATTTCGTCAATTAAATGTTAATTGTTAACTCTATAATATACCCAGAATTTGTATTTACTCTTTGAGCAAATAAAATGAAATGATTAAATGAGTTGAACAATATTTCAAAAGTCAAATTACAATGATAATGTCTGACCCAACAATTTATAAAGTCAAAAAGTATGATAACAGGAGAATAGGGATACAACTTTTTAGATTTGAATAAAATTGGAAACACCATAATAATGAACAAAACAATAAATATCTCTCTTAAGGAACTTGTTTATACATAATTCATAAAGCTTATTTTTGCACGTAATTTTGATGATATTTTCACGTGGGCTCTAGATGTGTTGTTATCTCAGAATCATACCTTTGTCTCTCTGTGATACGTAAGTATCGGTTTTTATATGACCACGCTATAGAATGCTCCTCTCTCCCCAAGATACTCTTCTTATAGGTTTTAGGTTCCGCTGATCTTATCTGAAAGCTTAACTTGAAGTGGTGCATCAAATTCAGGGAGGGAGGGAGGGAGGGAGGGAGGGAGGGAGGGAGGGAGGGAGGGAGGGAGGGAGGGAGGGAGGGAGGGAGGGAGGGAGGGAGGGAGGGAGGGAGGGAGGGAGGGAGGGAGGGAGGGAGGGAGGGAGGGAGTGAGGGTGGGAGGGAGGGAGGGAGGGAGGGAGGGAGGGAGGGAGGTTCCGCTGATCTTGTCTGAAAGCTTAACTTGAAGTGGTGCATCAAATTCAGGGAGGGAGGGAGGGAGGGAGGGAGGGAGGGAGGGAGGGAGGGAGGGAGGGAGGGAGGGAGGGAGGGAGGGAGGGAGGGAGGGAGGGAGGGAGGGAGGGAGGGAGGGAGGGAGGGAGGGAGGGAGGGAGGGAGGGAGGGAGTGAGGGTGGGAGGGAGGGAGGTTCCGCTGATCTTGTCTGAAAGCTTAACTTGAAGTGGTGCATCAAATTCAGGGAGGGAGGGAGGGAGGGAGGGAGGGAGGGAGGGAGGGAGGGAGGGAGGGAGGGAGGGAGGGAGGGAGGGAGGGAGGGAGGGAGGGAGGGAGGGAGGGAGGGAGGGAGGGAGGGAGGGAGGGAGGGAGGGAGGGAGGGAGGGAGGGAGGGAGGGAGGGAGGGAGGGAGGAAGGGAGGGAGGGAGGGAGGGAGGGAGGGAGGGAGGGAGGGAGGGAGGGAGGGAGGGAGGGAGGGAGGGAGGGAGGGAGGGAGGGAGGGAGGGAGTGAGGGTGGGAGGGAGGGAGGGAGGGAGGGAGGTTCCGCTGATCTTGTCTGAAAGCTTAACTTGAAGTGGTGCATCAAATTCAGGGAGGGAGGGAGGGAGGGAGGGAGGGAGGGAGGGAGGGAGGGAGGGAGGGAGGGAGTGAGGGTGGGAGGGAGGGAGGGAGGGAGGGAGGTTCCGCTGATCTTGTCTGAAAGCTTAACTTGAAGTGGTGCATCAAATTCAGGGAGGGAGGGAGGGAGGGAGGGAGGGAGGGAGGGAGGGAGGGAGGGAGGGAGGGAGGGAGGGAGGGAGGGAGGGAGGGAGGGAGGGAGGGAGGGAGGGAGGGAGGGAGGGAGGGAGGGAGGGAGGGAGGGAGGGAGGGAGGGAGGGAGGGAGGGAGGGAGGGAGGGAGGGAGGGAGGGAGGGAGGGAGGGAGGGAGGGAGGGAGGGAGGGAGGGAGGGAGGGGGGAGGGAGGGAGGGAGGGAGGGAGGGAGGGGGGAGGGGTGGAGGGAGGGAGGGAGGGAGGGATTTTATAAATAAAACATATTATGAATATTTATAAATTCATGGAAATTACATTTGAAAAGTAGTGAGGTTTTAGAAAGGTGTGAAACGTTCAAAGCAGGGTTGTTGTACAAACAATTTGAACGAAGAGGAACTACTTGTATTCTTAACTAATACTTACACCTGATCCCAGTGAGCTGAAAGCTGATCTTGTCTCTGTCTGTAATTTTTCAAGAATGTATCTGCAAAAATCCGCTCCTTTGGGATGGGTACCTATATAACAGTAACCCATCCCAGAGTGTTCGAAGCCCTCATCGATCAGCCACTCTAGTCTGAAATATTACATTTTAATGCTATACTAATCATTAAATTGATTGCTTTGTTTTGATGTGAGAGAAGGATACGATGGATAATTGAAGTTGAGAATATTGGTAGATTATATCGCTTAAATTCGGCCGGGAGTGAGATGTAAACTTTGTCATACTATACAGTTACACATGTGAAGGAGTTTTGCCATGTTTCGCCAACTTTTCAACTTTCCAGTTGATGGAACGATTTAATATAACTACTAAATGCGATATACGGGATAATTACCAGATACCAGATACCAGATACCAGATACCAGATACCAGATACCAGATACCAGATACCAGGTACCAGATACCAGATACCAGATACCAGATACCAGATACCAGATACCAGATACCAGATACCAGATACCAGATACCAGATACCAGATACCAGATACCAGATACCTGATACCAGATACAAGATACCAGATACCAGATACCAGATACCATACTGGCTGTGACGAAAGGATGTGCTTAATTGTTAACTGGAAATAATTTAACACGCAACAAGCGTAACATAGAAAAGCTGTTAGAAAAGACACGTGATCAGAGGACGGATACCAATTAATTCCAACATCTATTGCAGAATTCCATATATTAGTATTGACTCTTATCTGTGATACTAATAATAATAATATGTAATAACTATAATGTACAATTTGCACCTATACTACGGAAACTATATTGCAGTAACCATTTCTCACACGTTTTATCAGAAAAAGTAACGAGTGCGTGTGTACGTGGTAGTTTTAGTGTTTTCGACTATAGTGGCTTAATTTTGGCATCTATTAACTTAGCATGTTCAGAAGTTCTGAAATGTTCTGAAATGTCACATTTTTGTGACGTAGTCAACTGTAGCTGTCCAATCAATAACACTCCGCATAATACACTCCACGATACCTCTTTTTTACTGTGAGGTGTCCTTAAAACCCTTTTAACTTATTATGCGAAGGTTCTTCCATCGATTGCAGCCCTAAAATATGCTGTTTTAAATAAAATTATAATACACGCAGTACGCACTTGTTTATTACATATATATAACGATATATACATGGCCTGGCCTGGTACTGTTGAGGAGCTTCTACAATTTATGGAATGGCTCAATAGTATCCATCCAGACCTTGTGTTTACTTACGACTACTCTAAGGATGGTGTTGAGTTTTTAGACACCTATGTCTATGCTGTTGGCGATGTTATTCATACCAAACTTTACTCTAAGCCCAGTGACACCCACTGCTATCTCATCCCCACCTCATGTCATAGGAGCCATGTTCTCAAAAACATACCCTATGGTGTGGCGAGGCGAGTGAGGCAGTACAATAGTGAAGACACTAATTTCTTAGAGCAAAGGGAGGTATATACTGGTTACCTTGTAGCCCCGTGGTTACCATTCTAGTATTGTAGACGATGCTTTCAACAAATTTAGTGATATAACCGATAGGAAAACCTTGTATGCCCCTAAAAATAAGGATGAGACGACTACTTGTCTAATACCCATGGTGATGGATCAGAATCCAGCACTTCCCAACATGGGGAGCATTATTCACAAGTATAAGCACCTTCTTAATCTCGATCCAGCCTTGAAGAAGCTAGTACGTGCTGACAGTGTATTTGTAAGTCACCGAAAGAATCAAACTATCGGTGGCATGCTTGTACACAATAAGTGTCGTGCTGGTGGAACTGTAAGCAGTGATAGAGATGGAGAAGCCACTGCTAGTCAATTTCTTGAACCAGACGCTGCAATATTGCCGGCTGTTCGGGAGGCTGATAACGCAGGGTGCCATGCCTGTGGAAAATGCTATGTTTGTGAGCAAAGTTTCCTGTCCCCTTGTTCCAAATTTAGTAGTCACCATTCCAAACAAGTTTTCCCTATTACTAAATATATTACCTGAGGACCCCAGGCTATTATGTTCATTAACATATAGAATATAGATTTGGCGGAATGACAGGCTGAGCGCGGCCCAGTAACTAAATATATAACTTGTCAGAGTAATAACCTTATTTATTTAATGGAGTGTAGAACTTGTAAACAGTCGTATGTAGGATATACTACTTCTAATCTCCCTAAGAGATTTTCTAATCATAAGAGCCACATTAAGAAAGGTATCAGAAGTTGTAAGTTAGTAAATCACTTTTTAGATATTGATCATGATTAAGATTTTAGTTCAGTAGCCTTATATAACTCTTCACTTAGTACGCACCTTTCTGTTATTATAGTGGACGCTCTAGAATTTAAACCTGAAATAAGTCAAGCAGATAGGGAAAAGGCCATGGAAGCTAGAGAGGGGTTCTACCAGACCCAATTGAAAACCCTTGAGCGTTATGTGGGTATGAACACCCTCGATAGTAACCACATCCTTATTAAATCCGCTGGAGCTTAGTGTTTAGTTTATTTATTTTATTTAACATGATCTTAGCCTATAAACCCGTGTTTAGTTTACAATATTGCTATCAGAGACGTGTTATAGTCATTACTATTTATATATTTTTACTGCTTGATTCAGAGAAATCAGAATCTAGCAGAAGAGTTTTACATCGGCTCAGCACCGCCAGGACATTGGCTATACACGTGGGTCAATTAGTTTGATTTGGTATGGTTCGACCGGGAAAGTGGTCGAAATTAGTGCTCTTAATGAGTCATCACTGTCGTCTGAATATTAGAGCGGGAACTTCCCAAGTTTCGGCCGACAACGCGCGCGCACAGCATCGGCGCGCAATGCTATGCGCGCGCGTTTCCATATTGCTGAGTCATTCGGCGGTTGCGCTCAGCGTAACTTGGAAATGAGTTGTATGTTGTTTACCTAAATTCAAGCATGGTAATCATAGATAAGCTTGTCAGTCAGTAAGTGCTTTAGTGGGAATAACAGGCAAATAAATATCACTTCTTAATCAGAATTCAGTGAAATTTTTGTCACACCACTCAGTTCCATACCGGTTTTGAGCTCTTAGAAGTGACTGTTTAAGTAAATTCTTGATGAGCGCTGATTGATCCAAATTACGTTACCCCATAACATAAAATAAAAACGCTTTACTGTATGTAAATTTAATGACAACTATTGTTTTGTTTATATAATAAGTAATTTAGCAAATTAAGAAATAAGAAAGCTAAGCTTGATTTCTAAAAAAGAATTGAGGATTGTATTAATCAGCATATTTATGAAACCGAAAACGATCAGCGTAGTTCAATTTCATTAATTGCTACTAGTCTAGGACCAAAAACACGGTGAATGCAATGGCGCTAATTTAGAGGTTACACAAAATATTATTTGATGCGCGGCGCGGCCTAGATAGCATAAAGTGAATGTCGCTTACGATTAAATTTATTATTTATTATTGATAAGTTAAAGTGTCAAAAGTTTAATTTCAAATTCGTTTTACTTATTGTCTTT